AGGAAAAAACGGTACTCCGAATAACATGACGAAACAACGGCATATAAAACGATGAAACATTACGGTGCTCTCTGAATCTGATGTGGTATGACTCATCAGTTACCAGTCGCGTGGGTGGGAGAACCGTGCTGCTGCAGTAAACTTTTTTCTTCTGTCCATCTTTTTGTTTATCAATACAATTTATCGAGATCTTGTTTATCTTTTACACTAATTGAAAGGCCCATTTAATTTCTGCAGAACTCAGCAGAATATCAAAGTTTTTGGAATTTCAGAAAGCAGTGTGTTCGGTCATTATTATTGCCTAACGGAAAAACGCTTTTTATCGTCATTTACTAGGCGTGCGGCGTGTGCAGTTAAGACCTTTCTCCTTTTAACTGATATACTCGGCATCACGCCAGTAATGTAGCCTCAAAATTTAATTTTTTGCTGTGTTTGAATTAAACTTGTGAATGAAGTGCTCTAGACTGATCTGAAATAACACTTTCTTTCCGTCCTAAAATGCAATCCCGACCAAACGTTCAAGTCTTTTTGGCAAATTTCTGAGAGCAAAAATATTAGCGACAAGATCAAGAAATTGGAATTTGACTTTTTCCTCCATATCAGAGTTTGGAGTTTTGGAAAGAAAATGTTCTCCCGTTATCCTGTTTTCCTGAACCGGAGAAAAATCGCTTTGAATCGAAACTTTCCAGTTTTGGTGATAAAGAAATTGAAAGCAAGAGATTTTAATTTCTTGTTGAAAGACAGAACGATTTTTTTTTTGAAAGGTAAAAGCAATCAAATATCGAAATCGTTAACTTAATAGCCTTTTAAAATTTGATTTATTTCTCCGGTAATAACCATTTAGAGTGGCATCACCATGTAATTTAGACTTGAGACAAATGAGACACATTGTCAGCCTTGAGGAAAGCTGTCACTTTTTCTTTGAATGATGCAGTCACAAAATCCCAATCAAGGAAGTCTTTAATAAAGATATCAAAAGATAACCGGAGATGAAAAAAAATCGTCTGCGATCACTTCCTCACTGCTGATAGCTCACTTTCAATATATTTCATTAACGTCTCCTTTAAATAGGGAGCTTTCAGTTTCAAGAGCGAAAAAAGATTTAAAACGCTTATATTCATCACACAGCCTTCAATTTCCCTAATTGTGAAAGAAATTTTCATCGAGGCGAATTTGAACGCCCGTCTATAATACAGTGCGTGCCTCACATAAAATGCTTCAAGAAACGAAGCAAAAGGAAAAAAAAAAAAAAAAACAAAGAAAACATTTCAGATGAAATGGAATAAATCAATCAATCTATCAATCAATCAATCAATGCATGAATAAATAATTAAACACCAGTTTTTAGCACTGGCCAGTTCACGTAAGGGTTCTTTGCTCCGATTCCAAGTCGAATCAGAATTTTAATAGGAGTGTTTGTTTTCAACACAAAACACACACAACCTGTCTCGTTATCGGACCCAGGCCAAGGCGTTTGTAAGTGTGCCTCTCAAAACCAAGCTGTCTCCGTTCCCCATTTGAAAATAGAAATGAAAGCATTCTAATGGTTCGATGTTCTGGATTTTACTGCCGGGCTAACCTAACAAAGAAAGAGAAAAAAGGCTCGATTATTCGTAACAGAGAGTTTAAAAGCTTAAAGCAAGTTACTGAGAGAAAAACCCGACTACCTCGACAACAAGGCAAAGGTAAGCAGCCGAACCAGTGAGGCATGACACGAAATAAAACGAACGAAAAAGAGTCATCTTTTTGCTTGTATATTATTTATTAACTTTTTTTATGACTATGTCAATATTTTTCAATTGTTTACGCTTAGAGGCTAACTTTTTTGGCCCTTGAACGGCCATCGATTAAACCCATGGAGGCCCTCTATAAAAAAACCAGTCAAGAAATTTGCGAAGGTCATATTTAAAAGATAAGTCTACTTTCAGACATGGTTTGATGCTACTCTGGTTTGCAGAAATGAATTTAACCGAAGAAGTTACAATTCATAGACCCAATGTTTCGACACTCCTGTCTAGTGCCTTCATCAGGGTGATCTAAGCGCTACAACAAGAGGTCCTTTTATATGATCACTAATTAGCGGTCTTTTTTCTGATGAGGTGTAAATAAGTCTATTTTTTTCGCTAAATAAGGACTTCACGAAACGAGCCCGAACTCAGTTAGACGGCTTGCTTATTTCAACCTGTAGAAACAAAGTGTCATCCACAATGTAACGTCTGGTAAAAAGTGCTTGATGAGATATGAAATTCACAATACCCCTCCCTCTGTTTTCGTCTGTGACAGGCCTTGCAAAGTTTGAGATATTTTGTTCGAAGAGCTCCGCAGTCTCGTTCCTCCGTTGGTCGAGGTCTGCCTGTTGATCGATCAATGTAAACTTCACTTTCTTAGTGAAAGGCCAGGGTAGTATTGCGTCATATTCACCTTTCATTACAATAATGAACACCGATAGTTGGCTAGTTCGCTGGTCATTTGGGGAGATTCGAACTTTTAGCTTGTAGCCGTAACGTCCGGTTCCATTTTTCGTGTAGAACGGATCGCTATTTATAGTCTGATTCCGTCCTGCCATTGCTTGTCTAAAAATCTCACCGAAACCACCAATCTTCCAGACGAATGTTGTTGTGTCCAGCTCTTCTTTTGTTCTCTCAAGTTGTAATCTTGTCGCCTGAAGCTGACTCCTTGTTTCTGCTAACTCAACTATTGTCTTCTGAAACCTTACGCTTGCTAAATTCAAATGAAGGTTCATAGCAGTGTTAAGATGAGATTCCATGGCTTGTCTAGAAACCTAAAATAAAACGTTTTTTTCATGGTCATCATTTATACCAAAGCGTCTTAGTCAAGATTTTCAGCAGTTCCCTTTTGAAGTGTCAGAATCGATAAATGAAAGAAATATTTTTTTGTCCCCGAAATGACGACCTCACAAAGTTCGATTAGATTACCTACTGAATCAACTAAGGAACCAAGGCTCTTGGCGATCTTGCACTAGATGCAGCTGTCACAGACACACCAGTTTATTTCGAAACGAGGTTTAAAATGAAAATCAACTTCACATTAATGTAAGACAGATGAAAGCGTGGTGAGAAACCCCTTTCTACTTCTAGATTCGTATCCTTAAGTATGAAATGAATTGTGAGAGTGAAGCTCTTAAGAGAGAGGAATGCTTAGCAAATCATGTAGGGTGATGAACTTCCTCAAGGCACGACCCTACATGTTTTCACATGTTCCGTAAATCCTCCTCGGATCCTTATTTCACAGGAGAAGACTTGAGGGTGCGGGCGTGGTGGGGACTTCCTTGTTAGAGGGAGTGATATATGGAAAGATATATGCTTGATTATTTTGGAGCATCTACACACCTTGAGTGTTACACAAAGTGAGAAATCCAACCAGAAAAATCTTCTTATATCGACCGTCGACGAAATGGTATAAAAAGGCGCAAGATCTTAAGATCTCTCTTTCTCCAACTTCTCAAGCGAGAGAGACTCCGGAAAAGCTTTTTTTTCAATCCTTTCTAACTGATCTCCACTATCATTTACTTACCGTAGCTTCACAGCCCATGCCTGCATACGGACAGGAGACTACGGTTAGCGGACATTCGTCTCTAACGTGAATAAGAACCTAAATCACATCAAATCGGTGTATTAGAACAAAACAAAAGAAGTAGAAATGCTGAATTCCTTAGCAGGAATGAGTATTCCGTGTTTCTTAATGTTATATGAGTTAGTATCCATGCTTCAAAATGTCACTGCGTGGCCACTTCGGGAAAAAAAAAAAAAAAAAGATGTGGCTGCTTTATCATGAAAATATACTACCTGCTGGAAAACAATTCTCCGATTTTTTTTTATAGGAATGATCATACAGGCATGAAAGCGAAAAAACGAGTAAAACCGATCTATCCATCTAGGCCTTGATTGGCCGTTTGAAGAACGAACGAGCCAAGTTACGTATGCAAACAGTTGTTCATTTTCAAACAGTATGCCTTACCGTTCCCCTGGTGATCAAAAGACCACAGTAGTTATGACATGCTACTCGGAACATAGGGCACTCCCTAAGATGATCCTGAAAATTAAAAAAATCTCATGTAAGGAACTGGAAATCATGATTATGCTTACGCTTTAGAGTTATGTTTTTAATTAACATACTCCAAATAACAGGTTTTTGCTTTTTTGCAATCTCGTACCCAGATCTTACCTTGCAACCACTTGGCCGTGGAAGGTCTGGGTACAAGGTTAGCCTTTTTGAGTATACTTTCTAATTTTCAGGCGTACATGGTACATGAAGCTTTAGTTTTATCATGGAAAAAAAAGTATCGATCTGCATCTAAAATGCCTTAGTCCACTAGGTGCATATTAAAGAGCTACTGCCTTACCTTGTGTATTAAACGAGAAAGGATTAAATGATAGAAGTGTCCTTAGGCATTGATCTAAATGAGTATTAGCTTTTACCTCCCTATTCTTAAGTTCTCCAATCCATTCACAGCCTTCACTTGGACATCTGACCGCCATAGAGAGGACCTTCCTTTCTGTTGCTGTATCAGGAAATACGTCCTAAGACATAAACACGATAGCTCTGGTTTTACGTTGATGCTCAGCGAATGAGCCAGGTTCTTTAAAAGTTTCATGTAAAATCAAAGAAAAGGTGAGCCTATAATAAATTGAATTAGTGAATGATATTTCTCTTAATTCTAAAAGAGCGTACGAAGACGAGTGTCTGAATTATTTAAGGTATTTGAAAGCATATCAAACAATATATACAACAAATTCAGACTTAGTAAACAAGATTTCTTTGATATTTTCCAACCTTCATAAGAATTTTATGAGCACTCAGCTAAGCAAATCACTTATTCAGTTTCCTTTCTTCGGAATAAGTTATATAATTAGAGACTGTTCTTGAATTTGTTGTCTGAGAGAAAGTTCAACTATCAAGAATAATGCAATGGATTATTAAGGATCTTCCATGTATTTAGGTTTTGCATATACTGCAAATCTTTTCACATCCAGCCTCAACCAATACGCCAAATGTTATATTTTCAAGGAAATTCCTTCCTTTTGATCTTTCTTGATTAATTTGGTCAATAACAATAACAATAACAATGTCAGCACCACTAGCAATGATGCCATCAACAGCTGGAAAATCAACTTTGATAGCAACACAGATTTACTGAGCGAGAATATAATTTGAATCAACACAAGTTACGAGCTATATTAGAGTAGTTATTGTTTTCTTGCAGTTTAGTGGCCGAGAATTTAAGGCCAGTTACAACCGTACATAGTTACGAAGTCTCGCCAATATTGC